AGAGGGATTTGTATTCCTTACTAATATTCATAAACGTAACCATGTTGTAGCCTGAGAAAGGCTAAACTATATCAAAGAATACATTTATTAACTGCATTATCTAATTTAGCTATAGCTTTTATAAAATAAAAAAAAGACACATTGACGAGTCGTTGAACCAGGGACCCTGTGAGTCAACTGCTTTCCAGCTGAGCCACAGCGCACACACGGAATCTACCTGAAAACACTGTACGCTATTTATTCCTGTATTTATTCATGTTTTTATTCCTACATTTATTTATGCTTTTATTTATTTATACTTATGACATGTTCCGACCTCTATATAAATGAGGGTCTGAGCTCTCTTAATTCCATCGTGTCACCGGGCCCGGGTACAGGAGGGGTAGTATGGTTCATTATAAATCCATGGGTAATATGAGCGTTGTGGTTCAACCCATCTGAATCGCTTCCTGAAGCAGTCACGTGGTATTGACAGGCAGCGAGGCTTCGTTTGTCATCGATGACATCACTGGCCCAAAACGATACAAGCCTCGATACAAGCTTCACAAAAAGCTTTGGGGATTACTCGACACACGCTCCGAAGCCTCGGCGTAACACGTAACATCACTACCAGCCTGCACTTTTCCATGGACTCAATACTGCTTCTATTTGGATTTGTCTACACATACCAGTAAGCGCATATACTTTCATGTTTGCAATACAACCTAAATGTGGGCACTTCCCTTGCTGCTTCACTTAACCCCCATGCCAATATGTGAACCAAATGTCCATCCAGTAGTTGTTGATATATTTCGAAAAAGACGAAAAATGTGAACCGGTTAAAGACAAAGTCAGGGGAACACCAAAGACGTCAACAGGTTTTATCCTCTGGGCACCAGTAATGTCTTTTGTTTGCATCGAACAGTTAATGAGATATCAGATAAAGAACTAGAAAAGGAAGCCTCCACTCACAGGGGGGCACTGAGAGAGTTTGTCGGCAGCCATCATCTGCACATTCAGGTGTTTGCTCTGAGACTTCCCTCTGGATTTGACTAGCCTCTGGAGCACCTGAGAGACAAAACAGGAACAAAAAAGAAAAATGTCAAAAATGGGAAAGTTGAGGCAGTCTGAGTTCATGAGTGAAGTAACTTACTGTACCTTTGGTGAGGAAACTTTGACGTAGACGATGATGGGAGCGAGGGAGGTTTTGGCGAGCTGTGCGGGATGGTTGATGGTGTCAGCGTCCAGAATCACCAGCTGCAGGGTTTTGGCGAGTTCAAATATCCTCTCGATCTCACTCTGAACCTCGGCTGCACGGATACAAAAGATTTTAGTTACAACTGCTTCTAAATACTAAAATATTTCATAATGACAATGTTACGCTCACCTAGGCTGGAGCGAGTGTTGGATCTCTCCATGATGGGTCTTTTGTTGAGGACAGATCTCTTGGCTAAAGACAGGTCGGCAGTTACACGTGTGATTGAGATTCTGCCGCAAATATGAAGAGGAAAAATATGCTATGAGACTTTCACATTTGATTTGCTTTAACTACTGAGCCAACATATCTACAGTGACTATTCTGTTATGTCTTCATAATACTGACCTTCCATCAAATCTGTGTTTCAGGAAGTCAAAGAGAGCTTTCTGCATCATATCTGTTACCTAGGTGGGAAGATAAAAGGTAAGAAACATATGTTTTCTAAAGACAAATCTCCACAAGAAATAATGTGTTGCTGTTGTTAAAAGGGCCCATGTCCTGCTTTTCTGTTTATTACCTTATTATTTTTCTGCATGTAAACGGTCTGCAGGGTCACAAACCCTCAAAGTACACCCTGTAGCGAGTAAAACTCTAACACAGAAAAGACCTGTCTATGCTGCCCTAGATCGTCGGGATTTCTCTTTTTACATTGTTTACTTCTTGGGTATAGTGACGTAACGTTACGTCCGCGGAGCCGTTACGTTTGGACCAATCCGCGGACTTCCTCACACACACACACGGCGGGACGTTGCGAGGCTCACTGCTGCGAGGAGCGGGACAATGTGAGCTGGCTCACTGGTGTGGGGTGGGCGAGACAGCGAGGAACTCAGCCTGAGCACACAAACTCCCAGCCAGGCTGCGGGTGTGTGTGTGTGTTTTGTGCTGGGTTTCGCTGTGTCTCGCTGTCTCGCAGACAGCCACTAGGTTCACAGGGAGGGGGGAGGGGCAGGAGCTCCAACAAGCCGTTTAGGACAGAGAGTGAATGCACATACAGAGATGCTGTATGAGAAACCAATGCGATTTTGGAAAATTGCACAATATACATTTATTTTAGTATACCTCAACAATGGAATTATGATCAGTAGAAGTGGCCATGACATGGGACCTTTAAAGTCTAGAGAAGCCAAAACGAGGCCTCAAGTAAAAGTATTTTTAATTTATATGAAAACATTCATCCTTTTCTAACTAGTTGCATATTTTACAAGACATAATATCTCGTTTTAATCTCTTGAGGGTGCCTGTAGATTTGAGGCTACATCACTTTGTAAAAAAAGTTTTGGTACCTGCCAGCACTACCCCAAAAACAAGAGGAATCAGCTTTCTTGATCAATACAGAACGCACTGAGGAACATATTGCTTCTTTGGACTACATTTGCTGTCAACACATATTTGACCTCCACAAAAACAAATGACTACATCTAAAATAAAACATCAAGCAAAATGTCCGTTGGCTTCTTAAAGATTATTGGACAATATATTAAACAGATTTCAGAAATGAAAATCCCAGCTTCCTAAATAGATTCCTTAATTCTCATTTGAACAAAAAGCAGCAGTGCAGGAACATTTGAACAGAGGACAGAGTGAAGCAGCTGCTGGAGGTGAAACATAGAGAGACTCACCTCATAGCCCTTCAGCGAGGGTCCCACGAGGACCACCGGCCTCATAGAGGGCACCACATCGTAGGGAGGGACGTGTTCCTGCCAGAAATAGGGGATGACGAGGGAAGGGGGATGAAGAACAGAGACAGCAGGGGTAAGATAAAGGGGGGATGAGTTTGTGTTTTCTGCAGAGTTGAGGAAAACTAATCGAGGACTTTTTGTTCCACTGAAAAAAATAACTGACTACACATAATGTCAAAAAATAGTAATCCTCTGTAGCACTTTCAGTTTAAAAAGGTATGTAGTTTGTTAAAGTAATCGTAAGGTATAACTTTTCCTGCTAGCTGGTTCATAAAATATATAATTTATGACTATTTTTAGACTCCCAAAGACCTGCAGATAACCTAGTAAAGTCCTTTTAGATAAATGACAAAAAACATGTATTCTCCACAAATGCTGTTTCATCATAGAAAGAACAAAACCTACCTGTTTTTGCTTCTGTTTAGCTTGTGAAAACAAGAAAATAGCAATCAATGAAAGTAAAATGAAGGAAGAAGAAGACAGCAAAGGGGAAACGTTTTTTTTGTTCTAGCATAAATAAGAAGACCTGTGGTACTTACATTCACCTGCAGATGGCGGTGTTGTCCTCCAGTTCCCTGCCACCAAGCTAGAGGAGTTACCCCCTGTTTTCCTGCAACAGCAACACTCAAAATGATTAAACTAATATTGAGGAAATGGCACATGAGATGTTTGATAGTGTTAACTTACCTTTGTTTCTGCTCCTGCTTAAGTCTCATGGCCTCCAGTCGTAGAGGGCTGGGGATGAAGGTGATGTCTGCTCCCTCCTTCACCAGCCGGCCGATCCACCAGTCATTGTTATACTTCTGTAAAGTTCAGAAGAACAACAGCACCGCGTCACATATCATCTTTTAGTGTAGTAGAGGAGCTCATCATCACTAGCCACAGATATTATTTACTCACTTCTTTGATGTGCAGGAAGTCTTTGGCATCGAAGTTGACTGCAGCTCCTTGGACAGGACAGTCCTCGTCCAGAGCCCCGCAGTAACTCACATTCGTCTTTACTGCAAACGCTACAGGTTTGGACTGTACAAACAATAAGATTATCACTTGTTAGCGGTGTAGACACAAACATTTGTCACTGTTTGGACTCCAGTCATGAATCTTGTGACATTACATTTGACTCTGACAGCAGCCAATGACCACACATAAGACAATTAACAAAGAATGTACTATTTTATAGTACTCAATAAAATGTGTTTATGTGAACGAAATACGGTTTTGTTCAGGTAAGCCTAAGTATTTTTTGGGCTAAGCTACACAACTAGTTTACATAACATAACACATGTAGCGACTTTTTTGCAGTGTTGTCTTTTACAATCAATAAGTAAACTGCAGAGTTTGTCTTTTGTCGATGTCCTGATTTCCTGAGGACTTTTTCAGGACTAATGAACGTTTAGGACCTGGACTTGACTTCGGACCTGTTGATCTAGACTTGAGGTTTGCCTCAAGAATAGAATGACTTGCAGAACAATTTGTTTCCCACCTCTGGTTAGCACTGAAGAGATGAGCTGTGTATTTAAAAGCATATGAATGCTAAAGTATATCTTATGGATATCATTATTTACACAAAGTAAGGTTATAGTAGTGGTCAGTTCACAGCAACAGTTTTGTGGCCAATAAAGTACACAGCCTGTCATAAAAGGCAGCCTTGAGTGCGTTACAGTTACAAACACCCGACCAGATGTAAACATTAAGAGCAGCAACAGGTTGATACATAACATGATTCAGAGACGCCGTGCTTCGTCTTGAATAGACTTTATTCTACTTCTGTGAACATGCAAGTGTCTAGTTGAACATAAACAGTAAGAAGGATTTGACTGTACGTCCAGATCCTTCACATTTTATATCAATTTGTTTTCTTTGTGTTTTTGGATGATATTATGTTCATCAGGGTATGAATTAAAGTTATTCTGCATCCCCCCCGCTTATAAAACAGTCGAAACACTGAAGTTGGTATCAGTGTATATGGGTGTATAAAGGTACCTTGGCTCTGTCGAGCTGCAGCTGTGCCTGGCGCTCGGCTTCACGCCGATACGCCTCGCGGTCCTCCTCTGCTGACAGGTCTGAATCCGACGGTCTACTGTTGTACGAATCAGCCGACCCCTGTCAGGAGAGAGACATCTGTAATTCATTTTTAATTTTTAATTTAGACCATCTAGTAATGCGAAGATTACAGAGGGATATTACTATGAGTTTGCACAGATCTACTGCTTCTCTTCATGCTTTCATCTGTCTTTCTGTTCTGCAGTCTGTGTGCAGGTGTGCATGCAAATATGTGTCTGCATTCATGAACACATTCATGTATCTACAACACAATGCGTTGCTCTCCCACACCAGCCATCCTCTGGTAGACCAAATATAGCACAAAGGAGGCAACTGCTTCCTCTTCTCTCCTGCTTGGCCCCAATCCACTCCATCATCCCCCACAATGCAGCACATATATACATCCTCTGTTCCCCATGTTTATTCTCCAAGGACATCTCCTCATTAGCTAAATATATGCTGGTTATCATTTTTATTGTAAGAGGTTTAAGGACAAATCCCAGTGATGGCTCGCACACTAAGCTGAAAGCGACAGATGAAGCCCACAAAGAGACATTTTACACAAAGTAAAAATGGCTTGAAAAGTGCTGTTGGCTTTTATTCAAAACCTGTAAAGCGGTTTCCTGTTCATATTTTCTTGAATGTCTGTGTCATAACCTGTAGAGCTACATTTCTTCCGCTAATCATTTAAATAGACAAAAAAACAACAACAATGCAATTATTCCTTAAAATGTAACGTTTATATGAAAGTAACTTCAATATGTTTGGGTTTTTGACTGAAAAAAGACATTTGAAAACAACTCCATGGAGTCTTACAACAAATGATAATGGGCAGTTTTCTTCCATGTTACAGATATGTTTTAGACAAAACAAATAATGGTTAATGTAGAAAATAGATGGTCCTAAGATTAAAACATAAAAAGGAGAAGAATATGAAGAGGTGATGCAGTTTGTGTGTTTGTGCTCTCCTATATTTGGCATCTATTTAGATTCTCTGAAGGAACTCAGTCCTGAATCTGTCGGTAAAGAGAACCGCTGCAGCAAAAACAAATCCAAGTCGGGCAACAGAGAGAAAAAGGGAGAGAGAGGAAGAGTGGGGGGGAGAGAAAGAAAAACACAAAAAGAATAAAAGAAGTGATGAATGAGGCAGACAAAGTTAAACCTCTCACAGGTTACTCCATTATGCATACTAACATTCACATATGTAGAGACTATCTAAGAATAATCCTGCAAAGATTTAAATAAACTAGAAAAAGCACAAATCACAGTTTCCTCTCTGGGTTTCTTCTGCTCCTGAGTGCAGGGACTTAGTCCTGGTCATCCATCTTGCCCAACATATACAAACGAATCCTCTGGAGGACCAATTAGCAGCAGCACAACAAAAGCTAAATCAGGCATAAAATACAAAAAAAAAAAGTGCCAAGACATGAAGAACAACCACCACCTTTCAGCACTTCAGAATGCATATATATATATAATCCAAAATAATGTTTTACCACCTCAAGCCCCAGAGAAACGGCGAGCGGACACCTCTCCTCGTTTATTTTTTAGGTTGTGTGTCTGTGTTAGATAACTAGATCTGATTTCTAGCACTCACAAGCTCTGCAAGGCAACACTGCACCAGTGCCAGAGCAGCACCGAGAGAGAGAAGAGAGATGGGGAGGAGGAGGAGGGGGGGG